CTCAAGGCCTAGGTACTGTCCCTTAGCTTTTCTATTTAAGGCTGTCTCTCTACCACTTGAGCTACAGCTCCACTTTTGGGTTTTTGCTGGTTAATTGGATATGAATCTCATGAACTTTTCCTGCCCAGGCTGGCTTTGTCCTGATCCTCAGATCTCAACCTCCTGCACTCAGTATAAAACCAGCACTTGAGACAAAGACCTAATATCCAAAATATGCAAGAAGCTCAAGAAACTAACCTCTCCCAAACCTAATAAACCAATCACTAAATGGGCAAGGAAGCTAAGGAGAGACTTTTCAGAAGTTCTGAAGAGGTAAGAATGGCAAAGAAACACAGGAGATTTCGTTCACCGTCCTACCATAAAGGAAATGAAAATCAGAACTGGAACTTTTAATAGCTCATCTTAGCTTAGTCTCCCCAGCCAGCTGCCCAGCAGCCCCAGCGCCCAGCAACCACCTGAGATGTGACAACATTGCTGACCATGACATGTCCACTGCAATCACATCTAAGCACTGAATTGAGTGTCACCTCCATTCTCCCAGAGTCAGCCTGGGTCTGCAGCCTACAGACCTCTCTGTGGGCTTCTCGGTGTGTTTAGGGGCCATGTAAGAAGAATATTCAGGTCAGTCACAAATGCCTTTGTGTACTGTCTGATTATATGAAATGTCCAGAATAGAGAAATCTAGAAAGGCAAGAAGCAAATTAATCTCCATGGGTTGAAGGATGGGGAAAGGAGTAGGAATGACCACAAGGAGTGTGGAGCTTCTCTTTAGAGTGATGGAAATTTTGGCAGGGGATTGCTGTGTGACTTTATGACACAACACAAGTGCTATTGTGTTGAGTGCTTTAAATGGATGAGTGATATAATATGTATGCCTTATCTCAGCAAAGCTGAGATTCAATAAAAGACTCTTCCCAACACCTATTTTTGACTGCCAGTTTCTTGAGGCAGGTTATAATAACCCTATTTCCATTGAGAATTAAGTGAATTTAAGAAAGTATATGGCTTATAATACGAAATGATCAAGTATGTAGAGGAAAAGGAGTAGCAAATGAGTAGAGCGTGGTCTTTCTTGCGGTTTGTTTACAACTATCATTAGTATTCTCCCCTATGAACTAGAAGTAAGTTGCTGTATGTTTCCTAAGTGTTTGAACTGACAGCAGTGTTAATACTGATTAATAAGAACAAGTAGGGGACTTAGAGACCATTCAGTCCAGCTGTTTCTTCTGTAGATCATCAGATGACAGAGGAAGGGCAATAGGAAGAGAGGAGCTAGTAGGGGACTTTAGAACCCCCAAACCTTAACCCATTACTGCAAGATTGTTATTTTTTGGCATCAACTTCTATCTATCCCCTTACCCCTCCCCACTGGCCTGGGCGGAAGGGGCCAGGCAGTAAGCAGACACCCAAGTGAGAAGGAAAACCACTGGCTGCAACTTTTCAACTTGAAACTTCAGATGTTTTAAGTTCCCTTTTATTTTCTTTGCCGGTCCTGGGACTTAAATTCAGGGGTTGATGTGGTTCACTACGGTCTGCAGGACTTGTAGAAAATGTGGAATGCTAGGTATCTTTCAGCCTTTCTTTACACTGCATGAATTGTCAGACTCCAAGCCTGCCTGTCCTCAAGCTTCGATGGATCCACAAACACACATCTTGCTCTCTTCTTGCTTGCTTGGAGAGAGACAGCCCCTTCCCCTGTCCCTTCAGTTGTAGTCAAGCAATGGACACTCTTAGTATGAGCCTAGACAGCTTTTGCAAGCTGGTTAATAAAGGGCTCTGGGCTGCATTAGCACTGTAGCTGTTTCTGATGGTGTTTTCTGCGCATTTTCCTTGGCAAAATTGAAAACATACAGACAAGCTCGATTTTTTTGTGCCAGCTGACTCACACTCTAAATTGGTATTAGAAGGTGTTTGTCACCATGGAGAAATCCATATTAACTATTCCACAGAAGTGCCTGTCGCGCTCTAGAGCTTAAGTCTACCACGTCTATTGTCCCAACTAGATACATTCTCAAGAAAGGTGAGCAACTCCTTTCTGTTGTCTAGGTCTCTGTTTTCTTCTCTGTAAATAAAGTTGTCCTGAATGCAGCTGGCTGATGTGTCATTTTCATGGGGCTCCATGTGCTCTTGTCATCTTCTCTTAAATCTCATCCCAGAAGTCCTGAAGCATCATTTGCTGCTGCTGAGATGTTGGCATACTGTCTTCTGAGCAGACTCTTCTTGGGAAATAAGTGCGAGTCACCTTCAAAGGCCTGTATAGACCAGTGATCTCTAGATCAGTGAGCCACGTCTCGGAGTCACTGTGGGTTTCCTATTATAAAAGGTTTCAAGTGGAACTCCTAATTCAGCTCTTCCTCACTTGAGACCAGAAATTGGGGTTCAAAGACATGTGTGAGGCTGATGAATGGCAGATGGAATAGACAGGAAAGCATATTCTAGATCCTAGACCAGTGTCCTGACATTGCATTACCCTGAGTCTAAATATCCAAATGACTTAACCTTATTTTAAAGGCTTCAAAAAAAAAAGGACCTATGGTTATGATGTTCCATAATTGCCAAAGTTTGGCCCTGATTTTGCAAGTTGTTCTTTTCATTTGCCTTAGGCAGGAACCTTATATGTATGTATGGTTTGACTCCATTGTTTACCAGTTTCATACCTTCATATGGGAAAGTACATCAGGCTTTTCCTTCCCCACAGGGATTTTGGGAATAAAATAACATGAGCTGGATTTTGCCAGACTCTAGAATCATTCCAGGGAACAAACAATTGATGTAGACCATTAACTCTTTTGATTTTCTACTTGTCTAGCAGAACTAGTAAACTATTATTATTATTATTATTCCTCCTCCTCCTCTTCTTCTTTTTCTTCTCCTCCTCTTCTTCCTCCTCTCTTCTTCTCTTTCTCTTTCTTCTCCTTCTCCTCTTCCTCCTTCTCCTCTTCCTCTTCCTCCTTCTCTTCCTCTTCCTCTTCCTCCACCTCCTCCTCTTCCTCTTCCTCCTCCTTCTTTTTCTTTTTGCTAGCCTTTATCCACAAAAGGAAACGTTGGTTTTGATTTTCCTCCAAGTAGGATGTGGTGTAAAGGAAAAGGAAAAAAAATTAAGGGAAAAAAAAGTGATGTAAATGAAACTTGAGCTTTTGCAGTATGGCTATTTTCATCCTGAAAATCTTTTTCATCATTCCCAATTTAATGAATTTCAGTTTGCTTAGGAATAATTTAACACTGCCAAGTCCTGCTGGTTAAAGTCATTGGGAGTTACACTGATTTTTTTTTAATAAGCAAAGGAAAGCAGATTCAGTTAATTGACAGTCTGGACCCTGCTCTTGGCAGGTGTGCCAGCTTGCATTGGATCTGAAATGCAGTGTCTCGGGATGGATCTTTCTGCGTCAGTAATGCCAGGTCTACCTTGAGAAACGAGGATGAGCTTGTAGGCCATGCCCTTTCAAGCCCAGGGCTTCCCTGAGCTTCTACATCCCTGCAAGTCAACTCTACCTGGGCTGGCTCTGTCCTGCTGGATTTCATTTTAAAAGGATGGAAAGGATAAGAAGATTGCAAAGTGCCAGGCAGAAAGGGACCCTTTCATGGAAAATCCATGAGGTACCTGCCTCTCCAAAAGCCTTGATGTTCCCGAAACTAGACCGTGTTTGATCCACTAGGCTTTTGAATGCCCCTTATAGAAGAAGCTGAAGGGAGAAGCATCTCCACCTTTGAATTCTGTATGCACAGGCCTGTGGGCCTGGGCAGGTGATGAGGTCATTGCTCAAAAGCACAGTTAACAGCAATAAAGGCCAGACTTCCCTCATTTGCCTGAGGTTTGCTCTTCCCAAGAGTCTCATGACCCGGGGCGGGGTGGAGGGGGGCGGGTAGGGGTCAAGCCTGGGATAGGCAGGTGAGATTTCCTAATGACTCATAAGTAAGAAGCAAAAGAAAAAGTAGACATCCCTAACTAAAGCTTCCCAGTGTGCATCAGACCCTAGAATTGAACAGATTCCATGAGAGCCCCTCTTCCTGTCTGCCTTCTAGAGGATTGATAGTGCTCAAAAATGGCTGAAGAAGGGTAGAAGATGGTCCAAGCCAGCATCTTCTGAGGAACAGTTGTAGAATATTCTTTCCCAGGTTCCTTTATCTTCCATGGGCAGCACCTATATGTTAGTTAAGTAGTTTGCTAGTTGACTTTGTTGAGAATTTGGGTTCTAAGCCAGGTACCCTGAGTTGGGATTTTAGCTTTTCCTTTACTAGCTGTATGACCTTTGTCCAGTTACTAAAGCTCCCTCATCCCCATCTCTTTATCTACCCAGTGGCTGGTGGTAGTCATGGTAACTATTGGATAGCTCCTATCAGAATGAGAATTACTCTGTGTAAACTGCACGTGCCTTCCCTGTCATCTGAAGGACTATTCAGTTGCTGTTCCATTTCCTTTTGTATCTTGAACTTAATTTTATTCAGAAGAAAATGTCAGCTCTTGACTAGGTATTCGAGGTATAGACCTGTAATCCCAGTTAGTCAGAAGACAGAGATAGGATGATCTTGGTGCAAGGACAGCCTGGCAAAGTAAAAAACCTCTATCTGAAAAACAAACTAAACCAAAACCATTTTTTTTAAGGAAAAAGAGAAAAGGTATGTATGGCTCAAGTGGAAGAGCACTTGTCCCACAGCATGTGGCCCTGAGTTCAACCATCAGTAACACCAAAACAAAATAAACACACAACTTTGAGCATTTCCCCAACTCTGTGAAGAAGTAAAAAGGTAAATCAAGTGTGATTATCATTCTGGATACTCACCTACTTTAAGGACACTAGAATCATATACTTGGCCAAGCTGTTTTCATTTCATTTGAAAGCTTTGCAATTTGAGTTATGAGAAATCATAAGACACTGTCAGCCACTTAGCAACTTTTGCTAAACACAAATAATTGCACTATAACAACAAATTATCTGGGAATCAGAAGTCATACCTCTAACCAGCTCTCTTCCCTACTTCCCTCTGCTTCCTCCGGGAAGAATTCCTTGACCAGAAGTGCACCCCTTCCCAACGACTCCCAGGCCCGCAGTGGCGCTCGATTTCACACATCCTACGACAAAAGATACATCATCAAGACCATTACCAGTGAGGATGTGGCCGAAATGCACAACATCCTAAAGAAATATCACCAGGTAACTTTTCTTTCTCTTTATTTGAATCTCAGAACAATCATGTCTAATTGTAGACCAAAGGTCTAAATGTAGAGTTAAGAAATTTTCACAACCTATTTGACATTAAGATCTCCTCTGGCCTGCTATCTGAAAATTACTGCAACAAGATTACTGGCCCTTAACATTTAAGAACGCTGATGCTATGAAGGTCATTGGTTACTTACATAATAGTCTTACTTGGAAGACCTTCTGTGTGGGATAGTTTCAGTGAGTTACCACCCTGATGTTAAAAATCACTGTTTAAGAAGATTCTGCTCATGTCCTGAGTCAAGTGTTGAATTCCTACGTCTTTATCCATTTATGCATTAAATATCCGGCTCTCACTGGTCCTTCTTGACCTGGCCCACAGAGGCCCATCCTCAACCCTCATTCTACAATGGAGAAAATTAACTGATTTGAGAAGGTATATGGGTCTACTTCTCCTCCCTTTCATCCCCAAGGATGATCCGTTTGTAAATTCCTGTGGGGACAATTAGCTAACCCTTGAGGGCAGTGTTCTCCTTCTTGTGGAATAACAGATCTGCAAGCTGAGCACAAGTTCTCAAGTCCCAGACTGATCTGGAAGAGGCCTCACTCAGTGTGGAACTGTAAACATAGAATGTTCAGAAGCAGATAGTCCTGGGTTCAAATCCCAACCCTGTCACTAACCGTGTGATGTCTAGACTTTTAATTTTTAGTTTCTTCAGGGGTGGGAACCATTTTTTTTCTGCCAAGAGTCATCCGGAAATGTATAATGTCATTCTTAAGCCATGCAAAATCATCAGAACAGGCAGATGACCAAGAGGAGTCCATGAAGCGCATATGTGTCTATCCTGTCTTGTACCAAATGATAAGGAAATTCCCCACCCCTAGTTAACATAACACATATCATAATATAGCATCATAGTTAACACCTATGTCCTCCTGAAAAATAAATGAGAAAATATATGTCAAGTTCTCAGCATAGTGTCTGACACACACTAGGTACTTATTATGTGATCCTGGTGGTGGTAGAGGTGGTATTGTTACCATTAATACAATGTCTACCAACTGGGCACTGGTGGCTCGAACCTAAAACCCTAGCTACTCAGGAGGCTGAGATCGAGATTACAGTTCAAAACCAGCCTGGGCAAAAAGTCTTTGAGAATATTAGCTCCATTTAACCAGCAAAAAGCCAGAAGTGGAGTTGTGCTCAAATAGCTAAGAGAAAGTGCCCAGACCAAGTACTGGCACATATGCATGCACATGTGCATGTGCACACACACACACACAAATCAAAGTAATAATAACAAGGTCTACCATATAACAGTAGCTAACAGCAGTAAGTCATCTGGAGAAATTACAGTCTTAGAGTATGAGTGTGACTATTGTTCCAACCATTACATTGAGGGCACTGATACTGAGTCAATACTATCCTCAATATTGGTATTTGGAACATGCTCACCCATACACATGTGCATGTACCATGCACACACAGCATCCAGTGTAGACAGGATGGCTTAAACAGCAGGAATTTGCTCCTAACAACTCTGGACACTGGCAGTTTCAGGTCAGCATAAACAGGGTTGGGTTCCCGTGAGGGCCTTCTTCCTGGCTTGCGAATAGACACTCTGGGCAAAGGAGAAAACACAAGAGCTCTCTGCTACCTACTACAATAAAGACACTATTTCCATCCTAAGGACACCACCCCTCTCCCAGACCATGACCTTATCACCTCCCAAAGTTTAGGATATCAGCAGTGAATTTTAGGATACTATTCACACTGAAACCATTACAAAGTCATACTTTGCTTGTAACCTCACTAGCTCCAAATTTTCATCAAAGGTAAAGAAAGACAGACAGCATTCAAAGTACTGTGAGCTCTGATTGCATTAAGAGAAAGTGTCTCAGAGTTTAAACACTGGCATTCATTAAGTATCAGCTCTCAGAATGTCTGCTTTGAAGGCAGCTCTCATGTGCACTTGTATGCTCTGAGATGATTGTTTAAAAGCACTACATTTGGTCAGGCTGTATGCTCTACTATTGTACATTATTGCTTGGCAGTTGCTATTCTAACGATCTTTGCAAATGTGATCATTTGCATTTTGCTTATAGCAGAGTCTATTCAAAAAATAAAAATACCTTTGTGCTGCATTCTGCTTCCTGAAACTTGGTACTGCCTCTAATTTGTTTTCTAAAAGCATTAGTCAGCCTTGAAGTTCATTGAAATCTAATAAATCTTTTATAGCAGCTATCGCTTTGGAAATTTGTTCTACCATGCTTACTCTATTGTCTATTATAAAGGAAATCTTAAAGTGTCCAGATAATACCTGCCAATGTAAAGACATGAAGGGCCCACTTTAGTGAACTGAGTCACAGATTATATCTCTTAACACCTCACCTTCTCCTCTGGCATTTTCTGGCTTCCCTCCCCAGAATTTAATGTCGTACCCGTGTATATATATTTGTAATTTCCTCTTGATTGTCTTGGAATATCCAAAGAAAAGAGTTTCCTCATGGCTGAGAACATACTATTCTGAGAAGTGGCTGTGATGCCATTCGAATAAAATGGATATGCAGTTCATTTATCCACTGTGTGGGGGGAGGGGCAGTTACTGAGGCTTGAACTCAGGGCCTAGGCCCTCTTTCTTAGCTTTTTTACTCAAGGTTGGCTCTCTCCCATTTGAACCACAGCTCCACTTCCAGCTTTTTGCTGGTTGAGAAGATAAGAATCTCATAGACTCTCCAGGTTGGCTTTGAATAGTGATCCTCAGATTTCAGCCTCCTGATCCAAGAGGAACTAGGATTACAGCACTTAATGTTCTTGTGTGTTCCACAGCTTGTTGAAATTGCTGCTTATGGGGTCTCCCAAGTCTTGTGGGGGGGGGGTTAAAATTCCTTAGAGAAAACCATGTCCAACATTGTATCAAACCAGTTTTGGTTTTCCCTAGCAATAAATTCAGTGTACCTTCAGGCAAAAGAGTTATGCAATTTACTCAAGTGGCCCTTTCGACTTTGGCTGCCAGGAAGCTCAGAGTAACAAGTATGCTTATAAAATGTTGCTAAGGAGGTTAGAGGTGTGGCTTAGGTGGTAGACGCCTGCCATGGAGCAAAAGCATCAGATACTGAGTTCAAGTCCTAGCCTCTGACAAAAATAAATGCTGCTAAGATTAATCAAGAAGTTTTAGGCTCATTTCTGATTCCAATTTGTGCCCTTTTCCCATCTTTTACATTTTCTTTTTCATCTGTTTTATCTTACATTCAGTGAATATCGTTGTGCAAGGAAGGGGAGGGGCAGGTAGACTCTGGCTACCTGACCCTGTACATGCACCACTTCCAGACAGGCTGAGCTGAAATTTTACAGGTGGAGAACTCAGCCTTTATGTCCTCACATAATTCCATGTGCACAGACCCATCTAATACCTCCCATTCTATTCTGAGATGCTCAGAGGCTCATGGTTAGGGGTAACTAGTATGTCTTTATTTTTACTTAACAGAGATTTACACTCCTGTTAGGATTTGTGTCTAGTCTCACAGGTTTCTCTCTCCTCTCAGTTAATGGTCAATTCTTCTGTTTCTTTTTGTTTTGTTGTTGCTGCTATTGTATATTTACCTTCCCATTAGCTCTGCTTCTGAATTGCCCAACTTTGGACGAGTAGTAAGCCTTATTGAAATTGCATCTCCATAGAAAAGCTGGTCTCCCGTGATGCTTCTCTGTAGATCGGCTTTCCGACAGCTTTGTCAACCCACAGCCCTCTTTCCTTTTCCTTTGTCATTGTTGTTTTGTTTTAATGAAATGCATTCCCTGTTACAGCTATATTCTGCAGGGCTAAAACTACCAGGAGCCTCACCTCTGGAGAGGGTTCTTGCTGTTTGACTAAATTCTTCCTGGGATTAATTTTCTGATAAACTTAACGGAACAAGTGAGGCTCCAGGGAGGAAAAGGAAGGAGGCCCCACCCGGCCCTTGGGTACTGAGTTTGTGATGTTGTTGCCAAAAAAAGAATGTGAGGACACAACAAGGTAGAGAGCAAAACAGTTCATTATTGAAGAACAGCAAAAGACAGACAGATAATGCATTTGCAGGCCCACCTGGTAACAGGGCTGTGAGTGCTGATATCACAGGCCCGTGTGGTAAAAAGTAGATTAGGGCAGTTGTTCCAAATTTACCTTAAAGAAAGTACCACCCTTCGATTGGACACCTAATAGATTTAATCATTTTTCCTGTTACATTGTGTGATCCATTTGGCCCAGAGATTTCAAGGTCTACTCTACAGATAACTAAGCATCACTTGGCACAAAAGATGGGCTCTTTTAGATGTTCCCTTAAACACAGATCTTCATCCTTTAGATAGTATTTTCTTTTGGAAACATTTTTGTACCCAGAGAAGTCATTGCCCTAAGTGTTTTGTGGGTTAAGAGAAAGAATTTGGACCTAGCATACCGACACAGGTGCCAGTGTGGCCACTCTGCTTCTAATAAGAGCCCTTCAATATTTAGGTAGACTACTTCATGGGTGTTATACAGAGTTGATTTGGGGGGTCGGTTCTTTTTTGTCTTCTTTGTTTGGTGCTAAGAATTGAACCCAGAACCTTGTATGTGCTAAGCAAGCTATCTACCCCCAACCCAAGTAATTTTGCTTTCAATATTATTTGCAGATCTTTACTGTAATGCGAAACAAATGGAAATAAGAACATCCATATTTGCATGTATATGCGTTATCTCAGTGTAGAAATTCCTGTAAATAATACAGAAGGATGTTTGTTCCTTTTAACCCTGATTTTCTGAAACTAAGAAAAAGCACTTTTGTTTGCATAAATGTAGTCATTACTAAGTTGTTCTTAGTTATTGTTGTTGCTTTTACTTCAAAGCTATTTTAGATCCAAGTAAATTATAAAGCTGGACACTGTTAGCTCACATCTATAATCCTAGATATTCAGGAGGCTAAGATCTATGGATTATAGTTCAAAACCAGCCTGGGCGGGAAAATTTCTGAGACTCTTT